AACAAGAATCGAAAACAATGTAGTTATAGTTGAATGAAGATGAAATAAAGGAGCAGAAATGCGCATTTTTATAATCAGCTTAAAAGCTTCGATACGATTTTAATTTCAAAAAAGAAACTTTCTTTTGCCCAGTAGCCAAGAATCAAACTTTCGGTTCCGTTTCCTCTGAAAGGGAAGTAAATAAATCGATTTCGTCCTATAAATTTGAAAGTAATTAATTACACTGCAGTATTGTGCTAATTTAAGTAACAGAAGCTCGTAAAGTTATTTTGGAAATTATCGAAATATAACCGAAAAACTTTACTTTCGCAACAATACGGCAAAGAGAAAAATCGTCTTGACTTTTATTGTTCCGAAAATCAAATCAAAAAGTTTTATTTCTTCTGAATTTTATTTTCGAGTCGGCGAAAATTATGTTTTACTGCTTTTTATAAACTTTGTTTTATTGTTGTCTTTTGTGCGACTATGTTTTCGGTGACGTAGTGATAACTTACTTTTCGTCGATTTTGTACCAATTTAATAGTTCTATTTTTGCTTCAAGAAAAGTTCATTGTAAAATACAAGAAAATTACAGCCTCTAAGTTTATAAAATATATTTCAAGAATATTAAATTAGAAATAAAATAAAACGTCATCTGGTTTAATGGGACAGTAAAATGTTTCCAAAATTTTAGTCCCGGGGTTCTAACACGTTGAAGACGGAGAAGAGGGTGGTCGCGTGATCATTTTGAAAAAAATACATTTTTGTAAGTTTTTTTAACGTTTCTAAGATGCACGTCACTATGTTAAGACTGAAAATGTTTTAAATGTTAAATGTAAAACTGGAACTTAAATCTACACTTAGCTGTTCTTTATGTAATCATGCTTCAAACAGCAACAGCGTGAGGTGGGCTCGCATCTCTGTACTGTCTCTCGGCTATCCAATACAACAAAAGGGGCCAGAATGAGGACACCATGAATCAATACAGCCGTAACTACTGACTAGGCTTATAGATGGGAACGAAGCAGCATGGGGCTCAAGCTACATCCACGCTGGGGCACTTTATATATGAGGTAAACCATCCCTACATGGGACACTCGTCCACAGGACATCCGTACTTAGGGCATCCAACCATAGGACAATGTCGTAACTTGGACATCCGTCCATAAGATAACGGTACAGGGGAACACTACCCGTACCTTGGAACACTACTAGGACTTTGGATAATGCCGTACCTTGGACATCCAACCATAAGATAATGTCCGTAACTTGGACCATAACCTTGGAATCAATACATATATATGGGACACCTGCTCATACCTTAGACACGGTCCGTCCATAAGACCCTAAAAATACGAAACTCTTGTTTAAAACCTAAGAAGGTCTAATAAACAATAGAAACCTATCTCGAAACACTTCCGAGGGCTAAATAATAAACAAAAGAACTGTCCTTTCTTCCATGTAACATTCTGGAGGACAAAAGAAAAGGGACGCCAACGTGCCAGCAAAATACAAATACAAGTTAAGTTGGAACATCCAAAACTCTACCCTAAAAATATTCAATAATAATAACGAATCTAATAAAGATCTTTATCTCATCTTTACCTGTAGCTTCGAAATAGCAGCTGATTCAAATTATAGAGCAAGATTTAAATAATTGCAATTTCTCTAAGCAGGGCTCTGAAGATAAACGTTTGGCCAAAGGCTAGACTAAAAAGTGAAGTCAAGCACGGAGAGGCGCCTTGAAGCGATGTTGACAGCGCCTCCACAGAGCAGTGAAACGATAACAGGGTTGCTGACTAGAGAACGTAAAAATTACGCCAGGCGCGTCAAGTAAATTATCCGGCCTGAACGATAGGGAATCCGGTGATGATACGCCAGACATCATATATCATATACAAAGACATGTAACGAACTAAAAACGTTACATTGTATGATGAGTTATAACTCGTTATAACTCAAGAAAAGGGAAAACACAATAGAGATCTGTAAAGTCGCGGTGATTATACCCCCCCCGCACCACAAAACATTCTACATTCTACATATCTTACAGTTTACATAGAAAAATCTGAATAAAAACAATCTTTTATATTTATTTTAATTATTCTCATATAAAATATTAAAAACTTTATCCAAACTAAAACGTTGCCGTTATTAGGCGTGTCAGATACATTGCCCTCTGAAAGTTGCCTTAATTAAAATTTTAATGTATGCACAGTTACGCTCCAACAAAAGAATCTTTTGTTGTTTTGAATTCAAAAGGACACGATCCGCTGCTTTGCAAGCTTAGTTTTAATAAATGTGAGCCAAATGGCGCACTATTTAGTTCGGAGAAATTAAATTTGTTCTCATCTTCTTCAGAATAAAATAACAACTAAAAGTAGTAGCGCGTTATTTTTGTTAATGCTCATATTAAAATTATCTGTAAACAATTTTCAGTTTTCATCAGAGCTAAACATATTTTTTAACGATTTGAATAAAATCTATACTAATATATAAAATCCTTAAGTGACCGACATACTGATTAATCACGATCCTGCTCAAACCACTCAACGTAAGAAGCTCAATTTTGGCATACAGGTTGATTCTAGGGTGTAGAGGTTCGATAAGAAGGGATTTTTCGAAATTCCAGTTCCAAGAGGGTGAAACCACCCCTCAAATATTACAATATTTTTTATTTAAAAAACGGTCAAGTTTCCTAAAAAACGCTTAAACACGTATATTTTATTTTGTTTTTTTTACATATTTTAAGATTTTTTAAAAATGTATACAGGGTGTTTTGAAAAATCTGGTCATTGATTAATCACGATCCTGCTTAAAGCGCTTGACGTAAAAAGCTGATTTTTGGAAAATAGATTTACTTTAGGGTATAGAGGTTCGATAAAGAAGGATTTTTCGAAACTCGAATTCTAAGGGGGTGAAACTGTCCCTCAAATATTAAAATATTTTTTATTTAAAAACCGTTGAGTTTTTCGGAAAAACACGTATATTTTATTTTGTTGTTTTACATATTTTAAGACTTTTTATAAATTTGTACAGGGTGGGTCAAATTCGACGCTTTTAAATGGAAACACCCTTTTCTATAGGAGATAGACAAAAACTAATATCGGTGTCTGGTGCTCAATTTTTGTCAAAAACATGATGGTGAAAACCGCATATCGATATCTGGTACCGTTTCGGAGTTACGGGTTGTTTTTCAAAAATATGCATTTTTAATAAATCGCTGTAACTTTTTTGCTATGGAAAATTTTATATTTTTATGAAAACATTTCCAAAGCACCTTTTTACGTAGAATTTAATGGTTTAAGAATAATTTTTTTAAAATTAATGATTTAAGAATTATCAACAGAAAATTTGATTTTTTATATGGGACACCCTGTATATTTTTAATTTATTGAAAGGAATTTAAAATTACCTTTCCATAAATATAACACGCTTGATATTTTGCTCGATTCCTCTTCGAGATATAGAGTATATAAAAATTCGCCCGCTTTAAATAAGTAAGTAGGCTTTGAACGGCATCGGCTGTAATGCAAAAAAAATCTAGCTGTGAGCATCAATTAAAACGAAAATAATATTTGCTATGAGAGATGCAGAATTTTATAACAATTTAAAATCTATTTAACCAACATCAACACATTTAAACTATATCTAATAACAATAAAAATAAATAGCAAACCAAGACATGAGATTTTGCCTTTGAATTTTGCTACAGGTGTTCGACATATCGACCGTCTTATGTTATGGACAGACGGGGCGCGGTTTTTGAACATTTCTCGCGGAATTCATTAGCTCAGTAGAGGTGAAAAATACCCTCTCATAACTGCTAAGTATTTTTAATTCTTTTCTAGATTATACGGAAGAATAAGGAACCTTTATTCTTCCGCAAATATATCCATAGGATCCCATCCATGGGCACTAAGTCAGGCGGCATCGACGGCCAACGGCTGGGATCTTGGTTAGCTATTCAATTATTCTTGAAATTGGCTGCAAAAATTTGCTGATAACTTGAGCGTTCAGAGGCGGTGCGTCGTCTTGCTGGAAAAATATGTTTTCGAGTTCCATTAAGGGCATATCATCAATAAGTGGTCCAAAGCCTACTAGTTAAAAGTGGCGAATTTTTAAAAATTCTGTATTTCGAAGGGGATTATAACAAAATATAAAGTGTGATATATTTTTGGAAAGGTAATTTTAAATTCTTTTCAGGTAATTAAAAATATAGAGGGTGTCCCAAATAAAGAATGAATTTTTCTCTTGATAACTCTTAAATTATTAATTTAAAAAAATTATACTTAAACCATTTCTACGAAAAAAGGTGCTTTGCAAATGTTTTCATAGAAATACAAAATTTTTCATAGCAAAAAAGTTACGGCGATTTTTTAAAAATGCACATTTTTGAAAAACACCCCGTAACTCCGAAACGGTAACAGATATTGATGTGCGGTTTTCACCATCATGTTTTTGATGAAAATTGAGCTCCAGACACCGATATTAGTTTTCGTCTATCTCCAATAGAAAAGGGTGTTCCCATTTAAAAGCGTCGAATTTGACCCACACTGTACATACAGGGTGCTACAAATTCGTGGTACGAGTAATGGTATCTCGGAAACCGTAATAGATACGAAGAAGGTTAAATTGGGGCAAAGTTGTGCCTTTGGATGTTCACCAAGAAGCCATAATTTTTTTTTAAATTTCAAGGATTGCTGAGTTTTTTGGAAAAAACGAATTTTTTTGAAAATTAATTTTATTTCTTCCTGTCCTTGGACAGGAAACTTTAAATACCTGACTCAGTAATATCAATATTCATAAACAATATTACTAATAAAAACTGTAATATACCATAAACTTTTGTGATAAACTAAATATCATGCAAACAATAAAATCTAACGTTCAAACCCATAAACAGGAAAAGGAAATGCAACCAGCTGTTCAATAAATAAGCGTATAAAGGAACGAAGCGATTTCTTTCATAAGGCTGCACTCAAACGCGAATGCAACGGGGTTAAAAGTAGTTTACTTACGCACAACTAGCATGGATTTCCTGTCTATTCTTGTGTGAATGTTCGGTCCGTCCGTCGTTACTTCGCAACTAAAGTTTCCAGCCAGATTGAACTCGATATCTTTTAGGACCACTTGCGACGAATTCGACTCTGCCAACTAGAAAGGAAAACAGATACTTTTAGAGGGTTTTGTTCTCGATCAGACAATGTGTCTGATGTGTACGACCACATCGAATCAATATACAGGGTGTGTTCGATCAATATAGAAATACTTCAACAAAATTTTAAATATTTCTACGAAAATTCACTTAAAGTTATCAGAGTCGGACTGGGCCAGAGCGACCCGGGTGGATTTTTCTTGCGTATTTTTTCGCCTTATGCTTTGGACAATTTTTTCCCTATTGATTTGGTATTACAGTTTCAAATCTAGGTAATACCCGTAAAGCAATGCAAACCAAAATGCAATGCAAATGTAAATATTGTTAATCCAAAAAAAGATTTCGCTCAAACCACTGAACGTAAGAAGCTCAATTTCGGCATACAGATTGATTCTAGGGTGCAGAGGTTTGATAAGAAGGGATTTTTCGAAATTCCAGTTCCAAGAGGGTGAAACCACCCCTCAAATATTACAATATTTTTTATTTAAAAAACGGTCAAGTTTCCGAAAAAACGCTTAAACACGTTTATTTTATTTTGTTTTTTTACATAATTTAAGATTTTTTAAAAATGTATACAGGGTGTTTCGAAAAATCTGGTCATTGATTAATCACGATCCTGCTTAAAGCGCTCGACATAAAAAGCTGATTTTTGGAAAACAGATTGACTTTAGGGCCTGTAACAAAAACATCTTAAAGCCTATAATGCAGGCGGACAGCGCTGGACTGACACAAAAAAGTGTTTACACAGTGTCAATACCACGCCAGCGCTGGCATATCAGTGAGATTGGCGCCAGCAACTGGATACGTGTAAATCTGCCTTTACAGTTGGGTGTTTTAACCTTTGGTGTCAGAACAGCAAAATAAAACACTAATTTACCACAATACACCAAAACACTTTTACTTTCGCACTGGACGCGCGTTTCGCTAACAATGTTAGCATTTTGAGCAAATGACTAAAGCTCAAGTTGTTAAAAAAACCGCAAGAGTCTCACATGCTTAGTTTTGGTCTTGGTCTCTCTCTTGTAGAACAAACGCTAGTTTTGGTCTTGCATTTTGTGCAAGATCAAGACCGTGTAACAGTCAAATTTCCTCGCAACGACCTCTGTGTGCTAGCTCATAAATTATCGCAAATAACTATTATTTTTGCATCATGTTTACTAAAATTTTATTGTTAAATATTATTTTATTTAAATTTTACAATTATGCAACCCGATATACACCGCGATATTATTCAGCTACACATTATTGTCACAGATGCCCACCAACAGTAGGCTTTTTGTCCATCTTCCTATATCTTTGATCATCACCTCCGTCACTTGTCACTGTCAGATCAAATCAGATGTTTTTGGATTTATTTATCCTTTGTTTTGATTATTGAAATTTTTTAATTATGAGATAACATTTCGTAGTTAAATTGGTTATTTTTGATGTGGATCGCAGTGTGCAATTCGTTCATTTAATTGTGGGAATTTGTGAGTTAAGTTCGTTCATTGACCGGATATGAAATATGGCTGTTGGAAAATATTCTAGAACATCGTTTTTTATTTATGCCTTTTTGTGAGTTGGACTAGTCAAGATATATAGTTCAATATCTATATCCTTGAGGGAGATTTCCGGTTGAAATCTGATTTTGTGAAGGAAATCGAATCCTTGCATCACTTCTTGTGTACTCCTCGACCGAGAATATCGTCGTGAAGAACTGACTGTGAAGCATTTCCTGTTGGTGAATAGCAGGTCTTCATAAAGAAGGATTAAGGCTTCCGAAACACATTTGGTCAGAGACGTGGTTGGATTTTGTTGAGTTTACATGGACCACCGACCAATTTCCGTAAGGGATTAAATAGCCAAATTTTTCCGACCGATATCCCGATTCCACGTGCCCAAGAAGTCCCCGAATAGTTCCAAGGTATGCTATAATTCTTCTGCCTATTCTAAGTCAATGCTCAACTGATTTTTGTTCATATTGTTGTCTGGTTTTCGACTTTTCCACGCCCACGTGGTGTAGAAATATTAGTTGAGTGTTATCTTTCTTAAGTCTTATTTGGTTGTTCGTAATTGCAGAGCAAGAAGACCGATCCAGACCGTACAGCACAGAACAGTCCAGAATTCCATCCGTTCCTGTTGCCCGTGTGTAGAGTTACCCGTTGGACATCATAAACCCTCGTTGAGGTAAAGTTCAGATTTGATTAGTCCTTCTTTATTACCTTTATTAACTCCTACACGTTGTGCTAGTCCTTGTTCTATAAATGAGGCTCTTTTCTAAGACAACCAATGTTATTTAGGGTTTTTTATGTTCACCAATTGAAACCTCACCAACTTGCCTTTTATCTGTACGTCTGCTGACATCCGTGGGCTCCAGTGACAGTACACCGAGCTGCTGTACCCTGCTGTAGCCACCTCATAGCTATACACCGTAGCTCAGCCGGAGGAACTTCCGAGTGGTTTCAAGATTGTACATCGATTAGAGTAAGACTGTTTAGATTTAGATTTGCTATTTATAAACCAACCTGACTGTATCTAGTATAAGTTAGCTAAGGGGGTTTGACGTCATAGGTTTAGTTATTACATTTAATTTAAAATTCTATTTTCTTTTCCAACCTTTCGATTTAAATAATTTCTTAACGTATTACATTTTACATTTCATTCGTTTTTTTATATATATTTAACTTTTTAATATTTTAATAAATTGCTTAAATATTTTTAGTAGTATTATTTACAGTCTAGCCTCATAGTTAAGTTAGAGTCACTTAAGTACAAATAGTTATAGAATATTTGAAGTTCATCATAGTTGCACTCAACAGTTCGAGGTTAGTGTTGAAGTCTACTTAATAGTTACATCTTTATTGCCGAGTTCATAGAGTATAATCTCGTGGCGCCCTTTATTAATATCTTTGAACCCCGACCACCCGGCTGTTAAAATTAAAAGGCTAGTGGCCTCTATGCAACTCATTACCGATTAAGTAAACTTGTGTTTTATTGAACTTCAAATTAGAAAGGGCGTGGCAACCGCTATACTAAGACCAGTCTCGCTTATCACTAATTGCAGTTAATTTAATAACTTCTCCTCGCATATTTAGTAACAGCAAAAAAATGATGCTTTTCCACAAGACCTAATATATTTCTAAAAACGTCTATTACTACTCCGTTCCAGCTCCGCTCTGGAATAAATATATAAAACGCAAAAATTCGGAAAGTTTTAAAATGGAAAAAGCGCCCTTATTTGGGGCCAACTTATTGCCCCCGGAAATGCCGGGGCGAAGTTGTTGTTTACCTCTAAATAATTGCCCCCGAGAAATAACAAACGGAGATTTCATCCAGACGGAGAACATTTAAGGCGGACGTTTGGCTCCCGTTCAAAAATACACTCTATATTTCGGAAAAACCGTATGTACGCCAAACGGGATGCCGTGGCTTTTTGTCCTTCCATTTTTATGGAAATTTGGAAGAAATATATGGGTGATTCTGAATATACGTATTTTTTCTAACCTTTATCATATATTTTTTTTATTTAAATGTTCAACTTTTTTGTTAATTTAGATAATATAAATATCAGCAAAATAAATTACTAAATCACCACAATACACCAAAACACTTTTACTTTTACACTGGACGCGCGTTTCGCTAACCATGTTAGCATCATCAGCAGATGATTATATACTAAAGTACAATCTACAAGTTGAGCGTTTATATACTTGCTCAGTGGGCACTAGGTGCGTGGAAAAATCTAGCCAACCGAGTCAAAGCCCACTGAGTGTAACAGTTAGATTTCCGCCACTAGAGTAGTAGGAACAAAGAACTTGAAGGAATTGGACTGTTCGTTGTCTCTGTTCATACTATCTTTACATTTATTAATTCTGATGCTTTTATATGCATCTAATTGGCTGTAATTTGAGACTTGTTTAAGTAATTTTAAGTTATTAAGATTTATACAATGTTCTTTATCAACAATATGTTCGGCAACGCAAGATTTATCAGGTCTACCATATCTTATCTGAGCCAAATGTTCTTTAAATCTAGTTAATATTGATCTTCTAGTTTGCCCAACGTATTTCTGATTACAATCTTTCTTTAATTTCGTAATTTATTATTAGCACTATACACAAGTTTATAATTGACATTCTTAAAAATTCCTTTTAGGCCACGGGATAACTGTGTATCAAACGGGTTTGAAAAATATTTTGACGTATCTTTCTCCACTTGAAAAGTCGAATTTTCAGATATATTCCTAATGAATCATATTATAGTATTGAACATAAAATGGCTAGTTTAAATTTCTTAGTTCATAGATTACTTAGTTTTCCATTTTCCAACGAAAGATATGAAATAGAAAGAGATTACATTAGGAATGTAGCTGAGTGTAATCGATATTCTCCTTCACTAGTTGATAAAATAATTAGAAAACGTAGGTATAGGTTAATGATTTCTGAAAATTCGACTTTTTAAGTGGAGAAAGATACGTCAAAATATTTTTCAATACCGTTTGATAGACAGTTATCCCGTGGTCTAAAAGAAATTTTTAAGAATGTCAATTATAAACTTGTGTATAGTGCTAATAATAAATTACAATTATTAGGTAATCCAAAGGATAAAACACCTCTACTGGAAAGGTCGGGTATTTATGAAATTTCTTGTAAAGATTGTAATCAGAAATATGTTGGGAAAACTAGAAGATCAATATTAACTAGATTTAAAGAACATTTAGCTCAGATAAGATATGGTAGACCGGATAAATCTTGCGTTACCGAACATATTGTTGATAAAGAACATTGTATAGATCTTAATAATTTAAAATTAATTAAACAAGTTTCAAATTACAGGCAATTAGATGCATATGAAAGCATCAGAATTAATAAATGTAAAGATAGTATGAACAGAGACAACGGTCCAATTCCTTCAAGTTCTTTGTTCCTACTACTCTAGTGGCGGAAATCTAACTGTTACGCTCGATGGGTTCTGACTCGGTTAGCTAGATCTTGCTACGCCCACTCTGTGCCCACTG